GTAGTAGTCGTTGTGGTCGTCGTCGTCGTCGTGTCGAATGGTGGTGGCAGTGGTGGCAGTGACCGGTAGTGGTGGTGGCACCGGTTGCGCTAGGGTAGGAATCTGCCTGTGATTGCTGCTGTTTCTGCCACTGCAAGACTACGACTGGTGATGTCGGGGTTCTGGCTTTTGCACAAAATCCAGTACAGGGCTTCCGGTTGTGGTTCTGGTTGTAGTAGGGATTATTACTGGCAAGACAGCGCCGAAATCTTGGGGGCGTTGAATTCGCGAGGCACGGAGCCAGCTTCAGGAGCAGCTCGACCTTTCAGTTTTTTTTGCTGTTAGGGTGAACTACATGTGGAGTTTGGAATTGTTTTCTAAAGCAACAATCCGTCCCGAACCTGTTTAGAGCAGGTTCCGGAACAATGAAGCAAGCCTTAGCCGCAGCTCTCATGAGGCAGAGTTTTTCGAGCCCTTGTGTTTTGCGCGCTAGAGGGGCATGCAGTCAACCTCGTTGACCGACTCAACCCGCATACCCAGCCGCAGGCAATCCAAAGACGGTGCTAGTGCTGCTAGTTGCTAGTGTTCCCAGCGGCGTCTTAGCTGCGCCCTGATAATGTCTAATGGTGTGCCGAATTGTGCCGAGACACGTGTCGTCTTGTTGATGGTCGCGCAGCTTTAACCACATGGCGCAAGGCAAACCACACCCGCGGCCACAAGGATCTTCGATCGATCGGCCAGTGTCTCCGAGGCTCGTGTCCTCAACCCTCCTTCGAGAAGTTCAGGACTACACCTGCATCCCTTGACGGCCCTAGACTCCTAGACTCGACCCACACCAATCTCAAGCCCCTTCGGGTTAAAACATGCTTAGAGACTTTCGAAGCACAATGCAGCAACGCAAGCAGGTGGCCTTCATCGATCATGACCTCGACACGAACGAGATCGGGGGCAACGTCTCATGACTTTAGAGATGGAGCGTTGGAGCCTTTTTCTTTCCATATTGCAGCATCATACTCGGTTTTCTGCAATCGAAGCCGGCTAGCTCACTTCTACTTGGGTTGCGCACCAGCCTGTCTCTGCAAGGCCATTTTCAAATGTGAGCCGGGAGCATGTCAACTGTGAGCTGCACACGCATGCACAGAACCGCCCAATCTTTCCAGCCCCCAAACCTCTCATTCTGGAAGCCTGAAGTCTCGCTTGATATTTGGGAGGCTGCCTTCAGGTTCTTCCCAAATGCGCAAGACAGAGCTCGAAAAACAACCACTTGACTTGCGAGTCCGGCTCACTCCCAAAGCCCCAGCCAAAGCTTCTGAGATTTCCTGGACGGCTCCCAACGGCACCGAATACGTAGAGGCACGGCTTGGCTATGATGCTGACTTTGCGGCTACGGGGGTTGCGTGTTCTAGGAAGGAGCTCAGTGGCGTTTGACTGACACGAAGATCCACAGTGCCTCACTATCATCAATGACGATCAGATCGATCATCATGTCCACAGCAGTCGAGCTGGCGCAAACCGTCTGCACAATTCATGCCCCCCCAAGCACCTAAAACATGAACTGTCAAAACCAACTGACCCCCTTGCCGGAAGATTACATTCCGTCCGTTGCGAGGCATACAAGGCCTTTCTCTCTGAGGATGCTGCCGGGGCAAGCAAGTCCCAGATTGGCGATGATGTGCCAAGTGATGTCAGCGACATCCTTCTGTCTACGGCCCCGTGGTCGCAGTGGCCCAGCACCCCAGCCTGTCAGGGCATTCCTAAAACTTGCCTCCCTGCCTCGTCCATCTGCTCCAGGAAACTCCGCTGAACGACTTTAAGCACGTGATCGTCTTCACGCGGTCTGCTTTGGCCGAGCAGCATCTCAGCGTGCCAATGGTTGAGTCTGAGCATCCGTCAGTAGATCTTGCCGGAAACCCTTTCAACAGGAAGCGAAAGCAGCTTGCAGCACACTAGCCCCAGACTGTGCTGCTGTCTTCAGGACAACTCCGGTGTCGACGCAGATTTCCGATACTTCCTTTTTCGTGGTGGAGGAGAATTGTCTAGACATGCTACCTGTGCTTGGAGTCCGGTGTGGCGGATGATGCACCTTGTGTTGCACTACTGCCGTGGCACCTGGTCACCATTGCTTTCTGAGACAGTCGCCTACAACTCGTATCGCCTACTTTAGCCCTGAACGCCCGAATGTTCGAGGAGTCCTTCGTGGATCTGGATCTCGACCTGAAGGAACTCGGAGGAGATTTGACTTGGACTCAAGCCCTGGATGACACCCAGGTCGGCTCGACTCGGTTGACTTCGAGGGATTGGAGGTCTTGAGTCTTGGGTTGGTGTGGATCTGCTGAAAGCTTTCTAGGTTTCGGCTGCCAAAACAGGTCGCCGTGCTTAGCTTGCAGGTCAAACGGCACTATTTGCACTACTTATCCGTTCTGGGTATTCAATGATGGTGGGCGGGGCAGGGTCACACTGGTTGTTTAGATGCTCTGTTGTTCACTTAGTCTTCCTGTGACTTCGTGTGTTTGCCGGATCTGCCAGTAGGTGAGGCGCTTCCGTAATGGCCCAGCAGGCAGCGGCCGGCACTCAACCACGTATTGATACGGATTGTACCGCCGGCGCAAACCACAGGTGACTCAATACAATGTGTACCTCGGCATCGACTGCATCGAGAACGTTACGACACTTGCCGAGAATCAATGTGTTCGACTAGTTCTCGACCAATCAAGGAGCCTCAGTTCAGCAGTGCAGTTCGGGCCGTCGATATGTGGATCGGTTTCACAGCACGGTTGCCTGTGCCCACGAAGAACAAGAAGCTCGTCCCGTTGTTTAAGGACTACGTCCGATGCTGAACTCTTTGCTGTCTCCGCCTTACCAGTCTGTGAGATTTTAGAATCGAGAATCGAGGGTTCGTCCGTGGCCACCATTGATTCTGTGATGGTTTTATGCAACCGTGGACTCCTTGAAATGGAAAGCTCGTTCTATGTATTGGGCTTGCTCGTAGTCAAGTCAACGCAGTGAGAACCTGTCTCGTTGCTGAACAGGTTTCATGCAATTCTGCAGTGCAGCATTATTGGCCCCTATAATCAGCCTCAGGTCATTAGTGGGATCTTCTCCATCAGTCTCGATGGTGCAACTTCCCAGCAGGCTGTCCGCCCTTATTGAAAAATGCGGGCCTAAATCACGGTTCCTGTTCTTGCAGCAACTCTGCCCGTAATGGGTTTGTCTTCAAGTCTTTATTACTGTCGCTGTTCTGTTTTCCGAGGAGCGATGCGATACTGAACTTTATGTCCCATTGTGTGAGAGGTCGCGACTGCCATGAGGGCGGCTTTGGCGAGGACTTTTGGAGCAGCTTGGCATCTGCAGCTTGCAGCTTTGTAAGGTTAGGTCGACGATTTCGTCACGTTGTTGCAACCACCTGAAATCCAAGCAAAGTTTGGGGCACATCACGGTTCAGAAGGGTTCGTTCAGGTTTGTAGGGTTCAGGGCTGTGATCGTCTCTGCTTTGCGGTTTAGGCTTTAGGTTGCGAAGCTTCGGTCGCAGGGGTTGTTTACTCGGGTGTTGGCGGTTAAGGTTTAGGGTTTAGGGGCCAAGCCGTTTTGTTTGAAGGATTTGGCTGCAAAAACCCCGAGCCGCTCATAGCCTTGTAAGCAACCCTCCAGCCCAAAGCCACCAACGCTAACGCCTCTAACTGCAGAACCATCGAAAGACATGGACCTATACTGCCCATACTTTGGCTCATGTCCGACTTGATCGAGGTACCTGCTTCGGTGCTCTATGTCACCGTCCGTCAGGCCTGTGCTTCGTTGGGCAGCGTCTGTAGGAAGGGGAGCCTTCGGGATTGACATTTTCAGGACCTTGGGTTTGGTTCTCGGGGCAGTGCAGGCTTTCACTTGGGCGAGATAAGGCTATGGTTATGGTTATCATTGTAAGTTATCACTATACGCCTGCCGTGTTGTTTTGCGGGTCAGGATACATAAGCAGAACGACGAAACTTCATGGTCTCGAGCCCACTCACTTCTGCATAATGCCTCGAATTGCAGGGCGGCTCAGGCCGCCGCCTGGCCACACTCTGGGACGTCTCCTACATCATCGTGGTATCCGGCGACGAGGACTCCAAGACAGCGAGTAGAATGTTGTACGGTTCTTTGATTGGCAGTTTAACGAGGAGCCGTCGCGATGCTGGTGGTCATCGTCGTCCTTCTGACGGTGGTGTTAAAACAAAATAGATAGCAGTCGTAGCAGTAGCAGCAGTAGCAGCAGGCAGCAGCAGCAGCAGCAGCAGTAGCAGCAGCAGTAGCAGTAGCAGCAGCAGCAGCAGCAGCAGGAGGAGGAGTAGTAGTAGTAGTGGTACTAGTAGTCGTCGTCCTCCTCCTCCTCCTCGTTGTCGTCGTTGTTGTTGTGACAGCATCGTGGATTAGTACTAGTCGTCGTCGTCGTCGCCGGCGTCGCTGAAGTAGTGCTGGTAGCGTACTGCCTAGTTGGAGTGAGGAGCTACAAGTACAGCCTGCAAGTCTACCCACACTGGCCCGAATTTACCAAGTCCGATTTTTGAAGCTCCGAATCCTCCATTGAATGCCTGAAGTGTTGCGCAACACCATGTCGCACAGGCTGCTTCACTAGTGGCCACGGCAAGCGCAGTGGCTGCCGATACTGGTGCCTTCAGGCCTGCAAATTGAAAGGCTGTACAAGTCTAAGTAGAGCAGGTAGTTTGTGGGGATCGGCGTATAAAGGCTTTGGATTCGTGTGTTCTTGTCTGCTGTGAAAGAGGGTAAGATAATTGAGATAGCTCGTGTGCGTCCATTTAGTTGTTGGTTCCTGTTTCAACGAGCACATGCAAGAAAGTAGCCGACACGCGGCAAGACTGCTAAGCACAACAGATGGGGACGACGCCGTCCGTGTGTTCAATGCCGTGCAGTCTTGGATTCGACCGCGCGTGAGTTAATCCTTGAGGCTGCGGCACCCTAAAGCCAAGACTCTCAGCTACAGGCTTGTTGCACCCCTTCAAAGTCTAAGCCCAGACATCCGACAGCTCCTAGGCCTAACTCTTGCCAGGACTGCCATGGTTGTGGAGTTGGTAGCCGCGGGCGTGGACAGTGCAGTGGTTGCCACCTCCTTGGTATCTTGGTAACATGCAAAGGATGTTGTTTATCTTGTTGGTGGTTTCTGGCTTCACAACGCTACAGCGCGCGTTTTGCGGCGATTGGCAATCTGAACATTCGATTACTCAAGACTGCTCTTCAATTTGGCAAGCGGCCCTTATTGCTTTTATGAAACTTTCCTAAGTTTTCCTCAGCACAGACTTCAAGGATTAGGCTTCAGAGCTTCGGGCTTGGGCATTCCGGGGCTTGGCTTGGAGGAGTCGAGACGTGCTGTTTGAGGGTGGAAGGGGTGGAAATGAGGTTGATGGCTTCAAGATCTCGTGCAGTTGCCGTGGGACAGGCTTCATCGGGTCTTTCTGGGACAAGCATGGCATCCTTCCCCCGTGGTGCTGAGGTTGTGGTCAATTTCGCCAGAGTCACAGTTCAGCTAGTCGGAGCAGACCAGCTGCCGTCCGTGCTCCCGAGCTTCAGCACTGTGTTCAACGTGACGAACGAGACAGAGGATGATGTGGTGGACATCGACAACGACAGCAGTGCAGTTCGAACCACTTTGACCACAACCGAATCAGATGCATGGCTCTGCAAAGTTGTGCAGCCCCAACCTTTGGGGCAAATGATTTCTGGCTGATTGTGTATCCGGGTAAGCTACGCGACCACGAATTCAGACGAAAGTCTTGATTGTATTTGGACGACGAACATTCTACATGGTCGCAGGGGAAATTCGGTTTGCGATATGAACTGCGGTGCATGTTTGGGTATTGCACGTGCCGACTACTTGCAGTTCGGGATTGCCCCACAGAACGACATGTTCTGCTAGGGACGCACTACTCTCAGCACGACGCTCCGGGCACTGCTGTTGCCGTTAGGCTTGTGTTGATCGGAGCGTTCAAGCTGTTGGGCATCTGCTGAAGTGTCTTGCTTGTCCTTGTGAGGTGGTACCTAAGTCCGTGTATATAAGGCGCTGAAGAATCATGTTGATATCAGAGAACGAACCCTGGGATGCTAGCCGACGACCTGCTGACTCGTAAACATTCGGGTCAACCTAGGAGCTCGCCCGAAAAAGTCACGCTGCCCGCCCGCAATACCCAAGCATCGGATATCCCCAGCACGCACATGCATGTGAGAGTGGCAAACCGTCAGATTCTTCTATCGAGGAAGATGACTCCGAGGACTCAGACGTGCCGCGCCAGCACCGTTTCAAGGGCTGAGGGGGAGATTCAACCACCTTGATTCGCAGGGATCGTGGAATAGTGGGTAGAGTGCAGAGTGTCGCTCGCGTAGTTCCACATTCAGGCAGGTCGTAGTTCGACTGAGGGCCTGCATTTGCGAAGGCTGACAACGTCACTTCAACTGCGACCTCCACAAGGACGACAACGAGGATTACGACCACAACTGCAACCACAACCTCGAAAACCAGGACTTCGACCTCGACTGCATTCCATACCTCCACGACAGCAACGTTAACAACAACTGCCGCGACATGTCTCAGACTGCCGGCGCCTTTCTTTCTCAATGCAAGTTTCTTTTGGAGAGGTAGGGCTGTAAGTAGGTTGGAATCCATCGAGAGCGTAAGATGCCTTTCCTGAGTTATCAGAACATGAACACACTTGCAAATAGGGCACAATCCTCAAAGTACTGGACCAGTAGAGGGTCCTTGGTTTACACTATATCAACAAGCATGTACAGTTATGTTGATTTTTTCGCTCGACAGGTTTTATCACCGTTTGTCGAGCAAGGGCAGACACGCCGTCCAACACAGACTTAGCCTCCAGGCCTTAATCCTGCTCCCCGAACTCTCAACTCAGAATGCTGCACGATTCGATCTTGTGCGTTCGGGTGCCAAAGATGGAACGCCCTGAAAGTATCATAGACTTTAGAAGCCTCCCAGCTTAGGACACGGGGGAGGACACGGATGCGGCATGGCTGCACTGTGGAACGACCTGTCGCAGCATTTCCCTGGACACAATTACATCCCCAACCTTTGTGGCGCTTCCAGGCTTCGTGTTGTAATCCTTAATCACTCTTTCGGATTGTTGAGTGGTTCAAGTTCTGACGAGCGGCAACGTTCAACACCTTACTCAACCCTGAGCTCGAGATCAAGGTCAACGAGACGGATGTGGGCGAAGATTCGGATGCTCCTGGATTCAAGCTCAGTTAAATCATACTGCCGAAATCCGACCCGTACCACATCCGATTGCTGGAAGCAGCAATAGTTCGGTAGTGCTTACTGCAAGACGACGAAGTATCCATACCTACAAACGATGTCCACCTGCCATCACAGCAATGTGCAGCATGCACTCTGGGAGGTTGGCGCTTGAAAGGAGACCGTAGAGCCTGTGACATGTTGAACTTCCCGCAGCAAGTCCGCTGTTGCTCCTGTGACCCCGCTCCGTTCTGCTCGAAGCCATGGCCCCTCTCCAGGTGCCTGCGCGAAGACTCAGCTCTGTGGGCTCCAATGCCACGGAGGTGAAACTGGGGACTTTGGCAATGTCGTGATGGGTTGGGGTGGAAGGATCAGGACCCCTTGAGGATTGGACGGTGATATTTCTCTTTGAGCCGGGTTATCGATGTGTCACGCGACGTAGGCAGGCAGTAGTTCGTAGTTCCCTAAACCCAAAACATGTGACAAGAGAGTCGTCAGACAGCTCTCGGGCCCAAGTTAGAATGGAGTACCTGAAACCGTCAAGAGATTGCCAGGCTGTAGCCGCGTGTAGCATTCGAGGGAGCTCATCTTGGCATGTACTTCCGCAGACGCTTTGCAAGCTAGTCCTAGTCACATCGTCCCGCATCCTTGTCTGGAGGTCTCTGACAGCCAAGAGCTCATCGCATTGCTGAACTTCACGAGAACTCGGCTGATTTTCTGTGCACAGAGGCCTGCGCAGTCTTTCAGACTTGGAGCAGCCAGCGGCTTAAGCTCATCAAGGGGTCGCTCTCCTACCAAGGCTCGGTTGAGTAGGTAGCGATGGTTGGTAATTGAAGAAATCGGCAGAAGCTCGGGAAGGCATACTATACTCAATGCAAGAGAACCTTGGCCGAGCATCTTGAAGAGGCTGTAAAGGCGCAGAAGAACACGTTTTTTGTTTAACAATCTTGCAGCCAAGCAACCTGTGGCTTCCGCCCCTTCGCGAAGGTGTTACAAGCCTTGGAGCTGATGCTAGCTTCGAATTTACTCTTCCCGACCTGAGAGCTTGTCGGCTCTGAGGCTGCATACCCCTTACCCCCTCAACACTCTCGATCCATCTCAATCCATGCAGGCAACTGCTTGGATCACTGCCGATGCAAGCCACTACGTTTCATGTGCCGGATCTTGGGCAGCAATCGCACATCCTCTGGGGTTTGCGCGATGCGGGTCAGACTCTAGTTTCTTTAATGATAGTCATGATTCGAATGAAGCTTGGGATTGGCGCTCTCTTTGTTTGAGCCGATTTCAGATTATTGGCGATGTCTGCTGAAGCCATGCATCGGTTTTGCAACGCATCTTGTTGTTTGATGGGCTGCGACAGAAGCTTGTTCTGAACGCTGAAAACTTCTTGCTGACAGTGAGTAGGATTGCAAATCACGAATCACTTGACCAGGCAGAGACGCAACTAGGTAATGCAACGCACCTGCTGATCTACGCGGCTTGGCAGCAGGGTCGGTGCAGGGACGTGGTGATTGGAACCTGTAGCACCTTCACCTGAAAAGTCTTTTGGCCCGAGCTTTTTACACGTTTCCGTCACAGATCGAGGCTTTACTTTGGCGTTGCACTTGAGGCTGAATCAGCATATGCTGAGTCCAGCATCGCATCGGGCGGCACTCGGGTTGAGGACGCGGAGGCCAGGCGGCAGGGGCCGGATTGTGTCAGGATGCTTGCGAAAAGTCGGTGGTTGTCCAGTGATACTGTAAGGGATCGACTGGATAAGTTTGGAGTGGAAGTTTGGCGTGGAAAGCTGCAGAATCCAAGAAGCTTGTTGCTGGAGGGGGCATGTTACGAACGAGAACTGAAAGCTAAGGCGAGTGTCGTCAACGTCACCTTCGCGGATGAGGACGCAAGATATGCTCTTGGGGTGATTTCGCGTCGGATCTTTAGGGAGTCAAGCTGCCCCCGTGCGCAAGCACCTTGACCTTGAAGTCGGCTGGCCAGGCAGTGCAAACATAGCAGTGAAGTAAAGAATCTTCTACTTCGACTTCGGAAGCATGACGCCTGCAAGGACCTGGATGTGAGTCAGCTCGGAGGATATATTCGTTGGGGGTCTGCTTCTCAGCCTCTCCTTGCGCAACAGGGTCCATGTTTGTAACAATGTTGAAAGGTCTGGGCTTCTCCGTTTTGGAGCTTGCACGAGACATTTGGGAGTCTGAGCTTTTCTTGGGAGAACCTAATTATGCTCCCTTGCGGTTGCTTCGCCGCAGTTTGCTTTGGACTGTAAACCATCTGTCCGGAGCACAAAAAGGATGCCTCTGTATGTCTTTATGGCTGGCTTCGGAACCAGATCCAGGCTACCAGCCGGATTGTAGTCGGAAAGCTTTGGACTTCTGAAGCCTTGTGCGGGAAGGCTGGAAGACAGCCTCGGAGCTTCCAGAGCAGCTTGGATGGAGCTTGGGCTTTGGTGTCTTGCTTCAGACTTCGAGTCGAGTGTAGGGCTTGCTCAAAGCGGCGGCCTAGTTGAGCCCGATGCGCCCAGGGCCTTTGGAGCAGATCTTCGACTCTCATTCGTAGCGCCTGTTGCTTGTTGAGGCTGCGCCTGCATGTATTCGTGAAATAATCCTACGCCCGGTATTCCCAACACACACACACAGAGCCGGGGAGTGCGAAGCACGTCACCTGGGCCCGAAACTCAGATGGTTCCAGGGCATGTTTCCTGGAAGAGCGAATTATCCATGGTGTCAGAAAGGTTTTTGCAGGAAATTCCGTTGCTTTGTGTTCATCAAATGATGCTAGCATGGATCCCCGAACAGTGATATACCACCACGGACCATGACGACCACGACAACCAGGACAACCACACCCACCAGGACGACCACGTGCAAGAGATCAGGGGACCACAAAGAGACCAAGAAAGCCCCAGGAGACCCAGAGACGACGAATTTGGACGACAGGAAACCAGCGCAGGACCAGCAGAAGACAGTCAAGAGCAACAGAACTTCCCTCAAGCCTTTACACGGGATTCAGGAGCACTGTCGCAATGCCTCCCCCAAGTACTTATGCTGGATTCAGAGGCATGGCAAACATGTATTCCCAGAGTACCGGCGGGATTTCGGATCACCGCCAAACTGCCTTCCCCCAAGTACTGACAGGGGATTCAGAGATTTCACGCCCGAAAGGTCGACCGTGTTCTGCCTTTTAACCACCAGAGTCACCGGACTATGTCACTGACACAAAACCAGGATGTTCTATTCAAACCTTGATTTAGTATGCTTGTCAGTACAGCAAGATTGGCCTTGAAGAGACGATGAAGCCACCGAGCAACAAGTGCGAGCCCATGCATCCTGAAGACGTAGGCGTGCACTTCCAAAACCGACGCTGTGAGATCCAGACCCGGAGATCGAAGCCTAGCCTACACTGGAAGAAGGTCGAAAGTTTCGTTTTCTACCTCTCGGAGCTCCCGCTCTCAGTCGGCAGCCGATCCCTCCTAGGCCGGTCTGTGCTTGAGTCCTCCACATAATATAGACTTTAAGGAACTGGTCAGATTCTGGTGTCTATCGATCTTCCCTGCTTGCACCGAACCGAACAGAAGTGGGCTGGCTGCTTAGCTTACCTGTTGCACCGTCTTTGTTTTCGGGAGTTACAATCGTCATGGGTCATTGTCTTGAAAATGGCGTGTTCTGGCTCTTGTCGATGTTGATTTCACAAGCTCTGATGCCGACAGAGGCGCTCTAATGAAGTTACGGTTGCGTGGGAACGCATGTCGTGAAGGATGATCTTGTTTGTTTGCGGCTTTACATATAGAATATAGACTGCACATGTACGATTATTTCATCTTTACTTGTGCTATCGCCACTTCCAGGTTGTCTGCTTCCATCGAGTGTAACTCAATGGACACCTAAATGCGAACGACATTGAAATTGTCTGCCCGGCTAAATTGGGAGCAAAGTCAACGACTCCAAGTGTTAGATGCTCAAGATTTACAACTATCCATGTTGGACATTCAAGACGCATTCACGGGTCGTCCAGTCTTGACGAACATCACATGTGTCAGAAGCAGAGCTAATGCACAGTTCTGAGGATGACTGTTAGTGGGCCCGCGCTTTTTTGCATGTTTTGCGCTGGCAGCGGCATTGGACGACCAAGCAGCTTTGAGGTTGAGCATGTGACGTTGCAGATGGTTCAGTTCCTGCTGCAACATACGTCAAGCTGCATGGCGATATGCCTTCAGAACTTGCTATGGCTCCCTAGCCTCAACCAAGCCTCTGAAGCCTTTGAGTTGTTCGAGGATAGGCACGATGGATAGTGCCTGTTTAATACAATCTTCGGGCTTCACAAGAGCCTTGCAGTCTCGAGTCGTTTGCCCTTGCTGGGCTTGCTCGAAATGCATCTTCGACTACCAGCTTACCGGCGCTTTCAAATGGTGTCGGGGTTCAGGGCTCTTGGAATGGCAGAATGCGCTGTCGATGGGTGTCCGAACAGGCGGTAATTAAGCCCTGGTCTTTTTTTTAATTCGCTGGCTGAACCCAAAGCTGAAGCTTTTCTAGGGCTATAACCATCACCGTCTATAGATAGGCCAATGGGCGGAAGCGGCTATCAAATCAAAGATGAAGGCAATAGAAGCGCATCAGTCATATGATGGAGGCAGCGACATTCCCAACACCAGCACCGTTCTCGAATTACCTGCTGCCACGTGCTCAGACTTTGCGGTTTCATGAGGGTGATGTTGGATCTTCCGGTCCAGCAGAACTTATCGGGAAGAGAGTGAGTTCAGCAGCACGATAGAGCAAACGCGCGACAGCAGCAGCAGGAGGAGGAGGAGGAGGGGGGCCGAAATCAAAAACCCTTGCATAATCATGCATAATCAAGGTTATCGTGATGCTCATCACTATGAGGATGACCCTGATGTTGCTGAAGATGTTGTTGCTGACGATGTGTCAGCGCGGCCATTAGAAAAAGAAAGGATGCCCCCGAGCCTGTGAATAGCATGTACCCGATTGCGAAGGAGTCGCAAAGCGCAGCTCCTCTCACAACTGCACACATGCTCAGACCCGAACTGATCCACAAATTCTGAGAAGCTGAAGCAGTAGCTTTGCAAAGCCCCGAGCTGATTCACAAAAGCTGAAGCGGAACCCGAGCCCAGGAAACAGCCCTTCAGACGTTCAGCGCCCTTTCTGTCGTGGGCCTGGAATCAGCATCCGACGGAGTTGTTTCTAAATTGCTCGACGTGCACGGTGACGAGCCAGGACCCGGGGGCTCAGTGTAAGCCGCAAGACTTGAGCCCCCACCGAGCCCGGAATGCCTTCGCTGACTTGGGGACAATCAGGTCTATACGAAGTCAGCACTCGTGGAGCAGACGACGCCCGTCTCTATCGCCCTCTCCGATGCAGATGCATCGGTGTCGGAGGCTTAGGCTTGCAAGTTGATGTCCTTAGCCTGCGAGACAGAGTCAGCATGGTGTTAGTAGCATTAGCAGCAGCAACAACAACAACAACAACAACAACAACAACAACAGCTGCAGCGAGCTGCATAGTAGCATCACAGTCGTCGTCGTCGTCGTCGTAGTAGTGTAGT